ACACCCCTATGGCTGATGATGGTTTACTCTGATGGTCAAAGGTCACGTATTGACTATGCTTTGGAATTGGGCGAGTTCATTTAATTTGTGGGGATTCGATTCGTACAGGACGTGTAGAATAAGGAATGTAGTGGCGAATACTTCACACATTATCCCATGTATGCTTTCACTGATGATGGTTGGATGTGACTTGTGTCAAAGACGTGATTGAAGAAAAATACCTGTTGTATTTCAAGGTACATGTGTCATAATTTCAAGTTGCTGTGCACTTCTGGAGTAAGTTGATAGGTGGCCCCCATGAGCTTTGACTGAGGAGCCTGACATTTATAATGTGCAAGTTGGAGAAAATTGTCTGAGATGTAGATAAAAGACTAAACAAGTTGAATTTGCATTAGTCTAGGCCCGGTATGGAAATCTGTGAACCACATGTATGTGCCAAAGTGTTTGGAAAGACTGTCCCATGTTCCATGTTCGTGTTTCATTGTTCTGAAACCCTTCCCCAGCGCCAGACCAGGAGCCAGAGCAGCTCGGAGTCAGACTTCACCACCGAGGACTCCGATGCCTCCGTTGACGTGGAGTCTGACGACAACCCGGGCAGTCGGCGGGTCACCAGGGGCAGCGCCAAGAAGATGAGTCAAGGTGAGACTCAGAACAGCACTGTCAGAATTGATAAATGAGTAAATAAATAAACAGTACTGTTAGCTCAGATTCAGCCAAAACAGCATTGTCATAATTAACTAAACAGCACTGTCAAAAGTACCGACTAAGGCCACAACACAGAGCAGCACTGTCAAAAGTACTGAGGCTGCAACATACAACTTGTTTTTTTGCACATCTTTGAATAAATTGAATATTTTGAAATATGAAAGCTACTTAAGATAATCTTTATCATGTCAAAGCTTAAATCTTGACAAAAATGCTGCAAAAGATTGAAAAGTACAAAGTTGTACTTGGTATGTGTACTACTAGTAAAGAAAACCGTGTGGTGTGTTCAGGGTCATATAGAGAAGCTGAGTTAGTAATAGTAACATCTACTAGTAATTAAACTTCCACAATAATATTTGCCAAAGACTGAGAGATACAGTTTTGCGCTTGGCATTTGCGATAAAAGTCTGTAAGGCATTTGTTTCTGAATGATCAGACCTGAGTTGATACAGTTTCTGAAAGAAGTAGATGGTAATAAGTATTGCATGCTGTAGAATCTATCAAAGCTAACAGTGGCATCTAAACTACCACAGGTACCAAGCCTCGACAGAAGGGCTCTCCAACAAACCAAAAGCTTCAGACTGCTCGAAAGCTTTTCCAGCAGTCTAGGCTTGTCGGCACAACCACCAAGTCTTCAGCCAGGAAATCCCCTGCTTTACCTGCACTGTCCCACACTAAAGGCAGCACCAGCCCTGCACGACGTAGGTCCATCCAGCTAAAGCTATCCCCCTCTAGCCTGCTCCTTAGACGGCCCAGCCCAGCTAAGGCAGCACCCACCCACCCCAGACACCCCCCTGGCATACGGAGGTCCCTGCATGCTGGTAGAGGTGGGGTGAAGCTCGTTAGAGGTAGAGGCTTGCAAACCACTCCGAAGAGAGGGCAGCCAGTGGTGAATGGAGGACTCAGCCCAGGAAAATCTGCAGCTAGATCCCCCCAAAATCTGCTCAAGAAACCGACAGGTAGATCCCCAAGATCTCCTAGATCCCCTGCTGATCTTCCCAAAAGATCCATTTCTGGATCACCCAGGTCCCCAGCTTCTCTGCCCAGAAAATCCCCAGGTCGACCCCACAATAACTTGCTCAAGAAATCCCCAGCTAAGTCCCCACGATCCCCCAAGTATCTGCTGAAGAAATCCCAAGTTGGATCGCCAAGATCCCTAAATGGTCTCCCGGGGAAATCTGCAGCCAGGTCCCGGAGATCCCTTCTTGCTTTGCCAAGGAGATCCACAGCTAGATCCCCCCGAGCCCCCGTGGGTCGCCCCGTGGGTCGGGGGCGGAAACCCAGACCTGTATGTGCAATATCTCTCCCCGCAGGTGATGGGGCGGAGCAGTCGGAGCGGCTGGAGGAGTACAGTACCCGCTCCCGGTCCTCCATCCTCCACCCCAGCCAGCGCAGCACGGCCAACGCCTCCCCCACCAGGCACGCCGCCAAGGCCACCTCCTCCGAGTCGGAATCAGAGGGGCTGGCGGAGGAGGCGGGCAGGAGGAAGGGGCTGAAGAGGACTGCCAAGGCCATGAGTTACTACGGCTCTCCCCCCAAACGGCACAACCTGGGGGAGACAAGGTGCCCTATGCCAGGATGTGACTCCATGGGTAGGTCTGGTTTGGTGGTGCTCACACTCACAGTGTTCTGTCCTTTCAAATTGATGACACATACTCTGTACTTTTATGGTCTGTCAGAACTAGTAGTAAGTTGGAAGCCTTGCAACAAAATCACAATACTTCCACTGGGGATGTTGTCATCTAAGGATTTGCTTGTATTTCTGTCACATCTTAGCAAATTTTAGTTTTTCCTATAATCTTCGAATGAATGGGCACTATCTATGTACACAACTTGTGTTTGACTCATGCAGTGATTTCCTTTTTTTTGTTCACATTTGGGATAATCTAAAAGTGATTTTTTCCCCATGGCAGGTCACTTCACAGGGAAGTTTGAGACCCACTGGACTTTGTCTGGCTGCCCACTGTACCACAACCTGACTAAAGAGGAGTGCAAGGTGAGCAATGGTACAACTGAACCAATGCGGCAGTCATTGCTGCGAGAATTATGATCATGACGTATTGGCAGAATCAACTGCTGACAAGATTTTGTGACAACCTTTTCTTTTACAAGACTGTTAAAGATCCCACCACACTTAACTTGTGAGTGGATCAAGCTTGTCAGTCTGGTCTTATGCAATTTGTACTTAACATACAAAAGCTGGTGAGTTATGCCTTGAGCATTGAGGGGTGTTACCAATTGTGCGCTATAAACAAACAAAGAACAAACTAGTCTTGTTGTGGTTGCCACAGGTTCGAGCCACGGACAGAGAATCAAAACAGAAAGTTCGAGACAAAATCAAGAAGGAGGTTAAAGACGATGCCCACATGGCTCTTAGAAACCCTGTAAGTTGAACTGAACTGAAGAACAAATGCTACTCTCTCCTTTCTGCAGCTTACAACTAACTCCTCTCCTCTCATCCCTCAAATCTAGTGGAAATGATCGGTTCTGTTAACTAACTTATATTTACCTACAAGTAAGTCATTAACCAAAGCTTCCTTTTCCGGCAATGGATTTTCAGGCCACACCAGTTTAATTTGTTGGTTCTCAGATTTAAATCATGCTGAACTTGAAGATCAACATGAAAACAGAGCCTGAGGAGAAAATCCTCCCAGCCTTCTGTTCACATGTTGATCTATTAGTAGATTTCTACTTGAAAGTGTGTAGAACCAAGGAAATAAAATGGTGTGACTCAAAGTCAGTCAAATTAACTCACCTCATAACTTGTGTTAACTATAATGTGTCTGAAGACTGTCACCTCATGTAGAGAGACACCAGCGATGAGTTGTTAGCCTGTTCCGATGACACTGTGTGATGTTTCCTCCCAGAGTCCCACCAGAAGTCAGAAGGAGTACAAGGAGAAGGTGAAGGAACAACGGAAGGTCAAGCCAGTCATCTCCGAGGAACAGAAGGAGAAGGCCAGACAACACAAGTAGGCTTCCTTTGTTAACATGTCCAATACATGCAGTACACGTTAAACTTGTAACAGTGTGTAATGATACAGATACTAGTAGCTTGAATGTCTGTAGAGCTTTTTTGTCACTCACCCACATGTGCACTGATCCCCCATTGGTAGTGGTTCACCAGTAACACAGAAGGCTACACCATCAAGTTCTGAACTATCAATGCAGAAAATACATCCTTCCAGGTTTTTGTAAAGATTTTTTTTGTTGACAGGAAAACCCATGAGAACAACCGAGAGCCGCTGTTAGAAGGGCTGACGTCACAGTATGACCTGGAGCTGTTCAGAGAGGCCCAGGCCAGAGCTGCTGAGGACATGGTAGGTCACAACCTCTGACCTATGTGTGTGTGCACTTCTATTTTTTGTCCTTGGGGCTGGAAGAGTTGTATTGGTAAGGGTGTGAAGTCTGCCGTCCCTGATTGCCCTGTGTTATTTCAGGAGAAGAACGCGGTGTTCCAGGAGGCTGAAGTCCAGCAGGGCACGTTGTTTGAGGCTGGGCTGAAGACCATCCAGTTTGGGCGGTTTGAACTGGACACCTGGTACTCATCACCCTACCCGGAGGAGTACGCACGCCTGCCCAAACTCTACATCTGCGAGTTCTGCCTCAAGTACATGAAGAGTGCCACCATACTCAGGAGACACATGGTGAGGAACCTGTACCACTACTTCAATCTGATTGGTCACTTCTCTGGTTGAAAAGAAATACTAGCATGCAGCTGCTTTCCTATTGGATGGACTGCTATTGGTTTGTTGTAATATTAGATCTTAAGGACAGCCCCCTGTAACAGTGCCGTTTTATCCACCCCCCCTCCAGGCAAAGTGTGTGTGGAGACACCCCCCTGGGGATGAGATCTACAGAAAAGGTAGCATCTCCGTGTTTGAAGTGGATGGACAGAAGAACAAGGTGAGATGTCAGGAATAGCTGCATGTGTTACTGTTTCTGTTTAAATGTTCCTCTATAAAGAATACTGGTAGTTATAAGGATGAACAAATTTTCAAAATTTTGATTCATGAAGGCATGTTTTTTTTATTGTAGCCCAGTTTTTGGAGAAGTTTTCCATACCATATATGAAGTTTGTAAAATTGCAAGTTGTTTATACTTGGTATTCTTGTTGATATTTCGAGCCCTGATCATGCATGTTTTTGTGCTGCAGATCTACTGCCAGAACCTGTGTCTGCTTGCGAAGCTGTTTCTAGACCACAAGACACTGTATTACGACGTGGAGCCCTTCCTGTTCTATGTCATGACAGAGGCAGACACCACGGGATGTCATGTTGTCGGATACTTCTCCAAGGTGGGTTTCATTTGATTTCATAGCCTGTAAAGCTCATTACACATTCAGGACCTTCCCATGACTTTGCTGCTGACCACTCCCAACCAAGGCCAGCATGGGTTGGGTGTAGCCTGTAGTCAATCCTATTCTGATTGCTTCCAAGAAGAATATGATCTTCTGACTTTTGTTTTTCAGGAGAAAAACTCCTTCCTGAACTACAATGTCTCCTGCATCCTGACCCTGCCGCAGTACATGAGGCAAGGCTTCGGCAAGATGCTCATAGACTTCAGTAAGTATATTCTTATTCTATCTATAATCACTGCCAATGTATCTGGATAAAGATGTACTGTAAAGCTTTAAAGCATGTCAGTCAAAGGAGGAATTTCCTGTAAATAATGATAACCCGGAATTTATCATAATGCTGTTCTAACACAACAGCAGTAACAATTCCTGATAATGTTTCTGCTGCTTTCATCAGGGTGTAATGGAATGCCTCTACCCATGACAGCATTGCAGCCATGAGGAGGATGCACTTCCAAACATAACTGAGTCTTACAAAGTTATTTGACATGTTTGCAGGCTACCTCCTGACGCGGGTGGAGGAGAAGACAGGATCACCAGAACGACCTCTGTCTGACCTTGGGCTGATCAGCTACAGGAGTTACTGGAAGGGAGTTCTGCTGAAGTATCTGCACGAGCACAAACATGACAGGGAGATCTCCATCAAAGGTTGGTTTCTTTGTTAGTAGGAGAATGTTTTGTCCAAATGTGTGAGCAAAGGGAGACATGACTGACAAGGAGTTTGTTGTTTTGCTTTGGTTGTATAGCAATAACTAGTTATACCACAAATAACATGTCAGTGCTGTGTGTGAAGTTGTTCTGATATCAATGCTGTGTTTGTTGTTCTCAGACTTGAGTACAGAGACTGGAGTGAACCCATACGACATTGTCAGCACCCTACAGGCCATGAGCATGCTCAAGTACTGGAAGGGCAAACACATTGTACTGAAGAGACAGGTAAGGCTGCGGGACACTTATTGGGGCAGGGGCAGCAGCAACCTTCCTTGGGTTCTTATAACACAATTTGAAATTCTTTTAGGTTTGGACACCCCCATGTTCTAACATATGGTGAGGGGTATTGGAACATACAGGTGTCAGAATACAAGGTTGTTTGGAACAGGGGTGTAACTTCTTAGTGACCTTCCTCAGGGCCTGAGTGCTACCATAGGGTGGTGTTGTGGCAAGGTTGAGGTCTCATATTTCTGCCATCATTGATTCATTAAGTATTGATTCATTGTTAAGCCTTCTTTCTGTCTTTTCCCAGGACTTGATTGATGAGTATCTAAAGAAGCAGGCGAGCAAGCCCCCAGATCACAAGGCCATCGACCCCAACTCCTTAAAGTGGACTCCTCCAGTCACTACCAAGAGATGAGGGGGGCAGCTTCAGTATATTAAACCTCGTAGCACAGAAAACTTGAGTGTTAAACCATGCGGTACAGAGCAGGACTCAGTGTAATGGCTCACAACCATGGGTACCTACACCATAAAACTATTGTGTGTTCTTTACTGTTACTTTTGGAGGACTGGGTAAATGAATGAATTGCTCTTCAAGGATCTCTTCCTGTATAACTATAGATGCATGACAAAAACATAGGAAACAAAGACAAAACAATATAATGAGACAAGAAAACGAGAGCTTCAGTATATGAATAAAAGAAAAACTAAGGAAATGAAGTTTACACCACCCATAATTTGCCATCCTATGTACCTAATATTGTATTTCTATTCCTGTTTTTATTATAACTGTGAGTTGACAGTTACCTGTTACTGTTTTACACGTGTTTGCCATGCCTTTGTGTAAGGAGAACGGGAGTTCTCTTCTTCACAAGTTCCGAAGAAAGCCAAGCCCTCTATTGTAAATCCAACAGCCTCAGTGTGTATAGACTAAGATATTACCTGTACATTGAATGTTGTGATATCCTATTCACCTAGATGGGTTTTAAGAAATCTGTACAGAAACACTTGTCTAAAGGAGGATTAATGTCACATGTTGCAGTGTAGGACCAAGTTAACCTTCTCTCTGCTGCCTCAGTCTGTAACCAACACAGTTTATTACCAAAAGGCTTACACTTCAGGGAGAAGGTTAAGATAGTTTACTTGTGTTGGAGAATGTTTATAGTGTAAACCGATTGTGTGTTTGGAAAAGCAATGCCTGGAAGTAGCCTGGTAGGCAGTACTGTTTGGTTTCATTCTGCTACTCAGAGTCTTTCGATTTCCTACAAATACTAGTAACAGAAAGACCAGTAGCCAAAGTGTACTGGTATCCAGGCTACTAGTACCTCTATTATACATGATTGCTTGTTGCTCCTATCCTCAACTAGTCATTGCATCGGTCTGACACTAAAGGAATATTGACATGGTTAAGATAAATATAGTTTGAAACATCATCAACAACTCTGTAGATGTCTCTAACATTTTTTTACCAGTTCTGGTCCCCCTTTGCGCCCAGTCTTAAGTAAGAGGAACCCCCTGTACCCGCATTCAGCAGAGGCAGTCCTGCTGGTTCGCTGTCGAATGTAATTGCTCTAACAGTAGAACAACAGAAATCTGATGCTTTCTGCAGGAAGTATATGTTACATTAGATACCTTACACCTGATCATCCTAACTGAACCCAAACACCCCACTTGCACGTTCCCTGCAGAATTTTGAGTCTGTGAATGATCCGGACAAACTGATTGCAATGCCACTTGCCAAGGCTAGGTAGCGCTATAAAAGAAGTGACCAGAAGTCTTGTCTGGTCGTGTCCGCTATATCGATGTCTTAAGTTTTAAAGTCGTAAATCTGCTATATATATTCAGACCAAACCATTGTAATCACAAAGAGGGAATGTAGAACAGACAATAAGGTGTTTGTACTTTATGTGGAATTTTAATTGATGATTGTTAGGTGAAAGCATATTCAAATAGATAGGCTATTTTGAGATAGTCCTTTCGGGCCATATAGATTACAAGAGTTGAAATCTGTAACGTTACACTAGTTTAGAAGCTCTCGTCAAAACTTCAACGGCATTTGTGAGAGAGGCAGAAGTCCTGCGGAACCCCCGCTTCAGTGGTTTCTTGGGCAGGGCGGGCGCTAGTGTGTAGCAGTACTCCTGGAAGTCCGGGATGTCGCTGAAGTCCGGCACAGTGTCCTCCTCCTCGGACGAGTACTGGTCGTACCCAGGCGCGATCTCAAAGCCTTCCGGCAGCGCGCAGTCCTGAAGGGATGGCGCCGTTTCTTCTGGCGCGTGGCTGTTGTCTCCAACGTCTATGTGGATGTCTACGTTCGCGATTGCATTGTCAACGTGGATTGCACTAACGCTGTCGGTAATATCTGATTCAGGGCGTGTGGTCGTGTCAAGCTGATGATTGTCGTCGTCTGGCGGTAAATCATTGCACAGGTCTTCGTGGGTGGCAATGTCGGGGGGTTCGCCGGTGATGCTGTACACCCCGGAGTCTGCGTTGCTCCTGCTGCTCACCCTTTTCGTGATTTTCCTCCAGCTCAGCTTGAGCCATCGCCTTTCTCTTGCAGGGTTCTTCCAAGTGGTCTTCCGCTTCACTCCCGGACTCGCCCTGGCCTTTTCCTCGTCGGCTTCCTTTATCTGAGCATTAGTATCTACAATACCTGCCATACGACGATTGCTTACAGTCGTGGTCAGGGTTAGATCTTTGGCAAACGAGACCCTTTTCACAAGTTTGGGGCTGTTCTTGTGTACGGCCGCCAGGTTTCTCCGTGGGTGAGGTTGAGTGGGACTGATTGGGGGCGGAGGTGCTGCTATGGGAGAGCACCTTGGGATGCGGTATCTCCGCGGGACACCTGCAGAGTTTCCGGCAGGGGAGGCAGCAGAACACGGTGTAGAAGAGATCGCGGAAGCCTCGGCGGAACTTGTCGCTCATGACGATGTAGATGACGGGGTTGATGGCGGAGTTGAGGAAGCCCAGGCCGTACATGAGCGTGTTCCAGAAGAACAGGTTCCCGTTGGCGATGAAGTTTGTGGCTGGGTTCAGCGCCGACATGTTCATGACGTAGAACGGCGTCCAGCATACGGCAAAGGCAGCTGCGACAGCGATCACCATACGGGTCACCTGTGGTGGGATGGAACCATAGCAATAGCTAAAACAGCTTCAACAGCCTAACCCTTAGCCTCTACCAGGCACCGCGCATCGCGGGAAAAATAGTAGAAATTGACCGAATTGGATCTTCTCTGCCCGCTACCTCCCCTGGTATAATATTCCTTTATTTCGGCCAATTTCTACTACAGTGTACTAGTATTTTTCCAGCGATCCGCGGTGCCTGGTAGAGGCTACCTAACCCTAGCCGTTCAGCAATAACAATCAACATCCGAGTCGCTTGATGGAACGTTCACCGTGACAACTCTCCTCGTCACCATAACATCAACCAGACTTTATCTGTTCACTCATTTTCTGGATCACAGATACGTTTCTAGGTGTTGTCAGAACATGTGTTGCTAGGACATGGGGTTGTTTCGTAGTCTGATGACAAGCAATACTACTGAGTAACACTAACTTCTGCACTACTGAAAAGATAATCTCAAGCAGATCTTTCAGTAGCCAAGACAGTATCCAATTGGCCAGACAGTATCCATAGGTTGGATACTGTCTTGGTTACCGGACACCCAAAAATCTTCCTGGAGATTAATGACAAGACTAATAGTACTCTTATTAGATGGAACACGAAACGGATGCGTCCCGTACAGCCTGTATATTTCCATGTACCATGGACCTAACGACGCTATTATAGAGATGATTTTTACTTACAGAAGAATGAGCAAACATCGCAATTGCCGAGTTATCAGCTGCCAGTGTGTTACCAACAGACCTTTTGAATTGACAAGCATCCTGTTGAACCCAGCATACAATGTTATCTAAGTCTGTGCCCACTAAATCCGAATTTACTACCCGCCGCGCCCCTAGCTACGTCCAATATTTACGTGTTTGGTCCGGCCGGTACCATGTGTCAAAGGTCTCTACTGTGAATGGGAGCGGATATTGGCAAATTCAGATCAGAACGAGCCTTTTGTTGTTCCACAATCGCCATTTCTACTTAATTTACGAGCCCCCTGCCCTGTGCAGTCGGTTGATGTAATCCACGGTGTTTCACCGATCGGTTTATAGCGTTATTTGTTATGTACAACAAACTCGTATCGCTGACAAAACCTGCCCCGTAACAATGGGTTAGGCGCGAACGAAAACTCCCCAACATATCGTAAATTCTGCAACAAAGTAGATTTTAGGCAACATGTTTGAAACAGACTCAGATTTTAAAACTTCCTAAAGGTCATTGAGTCCGAATTGCCAGCTATACATAGTCCAACGGTATCTGGCGGCGAATGACTATGTCTGTCTGTCTGTTCAGACCCAAGGGACGCATTGTAGTACTTAACGTTTATCGGAGCGTTTGTGGCGTTTTTATTTCCTTTTGTTTCCTTCTGATAAACGCGCAGCCAAGCACGAACAGCGAAGGTCTTGCTATCCAATGTCAATTTAACACATGAATTGTGGTGGCGGAAACTAAAACCAACCGAAAGATTTCTTGGAACCTTTCAAATGACGTACTGGCTAGAATGGATGGTAAGTGAAATATTTTTGCTTCTAAACCTTACTGTAGTAAGGCTCAAGGTTAAATAAATTATGTAAATTTCTAGTATTTTCACAGACCAGTGCTACATGATGGTTAAATTTTGCAACCGAAGGGAATGGTTTCGAGTTCGAGGTTGAAACAATTCTGTAGTGCAGTACATTGGACACATATTGACGGTGTCTAAAACCATCTAGAGGAGAGGGCCTCACCATCTTCTTGTTCTTGTCCCGTTTTCTGGCCATGTCCCTGTCGTTGACCAGCTGACTGCCGGGTGTCTCCATCGCGCGAAGTTTGAGGACGATCCGGACACACACCACACTGATGAACAGCAGGGGGAGGGCGTACAGAACCAGGAACAGCGTGACGTGATACCACGTCGGGTCACCTATGGTGTTAGGGATGCTGTAAGCAGAACAGGCGAAATAAACAAACACATTAACAAACAAGCAAACAAACAGACAGAAGGATTGTTTGGTTGGTTGATTTTAAGAATATGTGTGCAGCAATATTAGCATTAGCAACACGAATGCTTCTTTAGTTGATGATAAGAATATCGGTGTGCTTTGGTTGATGATCATGTTACTAAAACAAAACTGTAGTGTCCAATTCATACTACAGAGTGGACTAACATGGCATTATGCATTATGTTCGTGACGTTAGTCGGCCTGATTTCCAATGTGCGGCTTTGAAGATACGTGGCAATGGCTATACTGCAAGGCGCCGATCCAATGTCTACTTTTTTCCGGAAGGCAAAAGACATGACTTAAAACTTCAATATACTCTTCCAGACGGCGTGCATGGGTGGTGATAGGTTAGTGTTAGGGTCATGGTGTCCAGCTGCAGTGTTAGGGTGAGGGTTATGGATAGTGCTAGAGTGAGGATGGGTACGGTGTTAGGGTGAGGGTTATGGATAGTGCTAGAGTGAGGATGGGTACGGTGTTAGGGTGAGGGTTATGGATAGTGCTAGAGTGAGGATGGGTACGGTGTTAGGGTGAGGGTTATGGATAGTGGGTGAGGGTTATGGATAGTGCTAGAGTGAGGATGGGTACGGTGTTAGGGTGAGGGTTATGGATAGTGCTAGAGTGAGGACGGGTACGGTGTTAGGGTGAGGGTTATGGATAGTGCTAGAGTGAGGATGGGTACGGTGTTAGGGTGAGGGTTATGGATAGTGCTAGAGTGAGGATGGGTACGGTGTTAGGGTGAGCCGGTGAGGGTTATGGAAGGTGTTGGTGTGAGTGTTGATATTAGTGTTAATGTTAGTATTAATGTTAGTGTAAATAAAAAAAAAGTCTTACTCGTCCAGACAGCGCGCCCGGGTGATGGTACCCAACTCACTGCGCAGGCGCATCCTGAAGAACGCCGCGGGGATCAGCTGGAGGGAGCAAAGCACCATGGGAACGACCCACACGGTGACCAACATGGCGACGATCCGCTTCTTGCTGGTGAACTTGGTGTCCAGGGGGCGGCAGATGGCGTTGAACCTGGAGGGGAACAAGAACAACACATACCATAGTCACCATAGGCTGGGATTCGATATGCAGGGCTCAGGTGAGACACGCTGTAGGATGTGATATAGGATATTGGCCTTTTCTTGTTGACAACAAAAGTCTTCTTTCTTATGTAAGAAACAGGAGGAGCCAGTAAAACCCCCCACTGTTACACTTATATAAGTTCTTAGCCTGAAAGTTCATCTTTGTTGGCATCTTTGGGCATACCCACACCGAGGGGTGAAAGAACCATTACTTAAGGGCCTTTCAACCACACCTTAACAGAGACGGGAGTGTAAAGTTTATACA